TAATTACTGGAAAAACAGGTTGTAAATTGAGGCCTGTGTGACATCCTGTTTTAATTATCTAAATAAGTGGTATCACTTTTCTTTCAAATCCTTAAAGGAATATGCCTCTGGGTTCTGGGTTTATGAAAACAAATGCCCATCATTTACAAGAGTTTCCCTTTGGAATGCTTTGTCTGTCGAAGTCTGAACAATTCCAATCAGACCCCTGCTGGATCCAATTAAATGACTTCCTCAGTTACAATGAGATGTTCTAACTTCGAAATCTGTAACGCTGCAGCAATGGGAAGACGAGATAATCGGCTACCATATAAGAAATATATAAATATTTTTTTTTTATACATAATAATTTGTTAATGTATTGTGGCTCTGAACATTTACGGATTTGTCAGACATGGATATTAGCATTGCAGTTAATCATTTCTGCAGTGATGTTTCTGTTAAATCTCATATAGGCCTATGTAAAAAATATATTTAGCATCTGTATGAAGTTAACAGGGGAGGGTGGGTGATGAATGAATGTATGTCATGGTCCCACTATTTCACAACATTAGTATTCTCCTCCTCACATAACAATCAGGAACTGTTTGGAATTTTAACATACTCGGACCAAGGCCTTCATGACGGAAGGCTGTCGTTCTGTCTTTCACTCACCCTTCTACTCCCTTGTTGACTTTCCATTCAGTCTCTCTCTCTCTCTCTCTCTCTCTCTCTCTCTCTCTCTCTCTCTCTCTCTCTCTCTCTCTCTCTCTCTCTCTCTCTCTCTCTCTCTCTCTCTCGTGGTCTTAGATTCATATGTACTGTAAAGAGCTGAAGATATTCTTTAATACCTTTTACTATTGTCATGTTTGTCATTGTCAGACTCCAATGTAATGCAGCCTGATGCTGATGTGATTACAGTGAACAGTCAGTCGTCTCAGAGAAGCCTGGAAAATGAGATTTGGGATGAAAGAACTCCATCAGCAGAGTAGTTGGGTAGAACTGCGACAGACAGGAGAGCGTGAGGAGTGTATCGTGGGTAGGCCTACCTACATTGAAACCCCACCCACTCTAACACACTGACTAGGCCTGTGTTTTCAGCCTCCAGTCAGCATTAAGCAGGCCTAATGTATACCTCTGATACCCTTAGCACTGCCGCTTTCATCTCCTCTCCGCCTCTCAGCTTAACGCCTCTGAATACCATATATACATTAGGAACACCTTCCTAATATTGAGTTGCACCCTCCCCTTTTGCCCTCAGAACAGCCTAAATTTGCCGGGGCATGGACTCTACAAGGTGTCGAAAGCGTTCCACTGGGATGCTGACCAATGCTTTGGAGTCAACAGTTGTGTCAAGTTGGCTGGATGTTCTTTGGGTGGGGGACCATTATTGATACACACGGGAAACTGTTGAGCATGAAAAACCCAGCACTGTTGAAGTTCTTGACACAAACCGGTGCGCCTGGCATCTACTACCATACCTACTTAAATATTTTGACTTGCCCATTCACCTTCTGAATGGCCTACATACACAATCCATGTCTCAAATTGTCTCAATGCTTAAAAATTATTCTTTAACCTGTCTCCTCCCCTTCATCTACACTGATTGAAGTGGCATCAATAAGGGATCATATCTTTCACCTGGATTCACCTGGTCAGTCTGGAAAGAGCAAGTGTTCTTAATGTTTTGTATACTCAGTGTATGTTTTTGTCCAATAACCCAGTAATCATACTGCAGTTTCCAAGACAGGATTTTGAAAGAGCTGGCTAGGTTATGTAAGGACATGTCAGGCATACTGAGACAGACAGGCAGACAGGCGTCCAATCGCATCAATTACACCCGTGAAATGTACTGCGGAATATACAATTCAGGGAAATGACGTCTGGCTTACCTCAGCTGGCCGGCCTGGCTATGTGGGGGCAGAGGAGTGGTGAGACATGCATCCCAAGCTGCATGGTGTCATTAAAAGAGATGTGTGGCTGTGAGCAGTACCATAAAAATCCCTGGCCACTGTTCATCCCTTACATCACATATTCTTCTACATCAACATCACTATTTATAGCACTGATTTACTGCATGTGGTCCTTGGTCTAGGAAGTCTGGGATGATTTTCCTCCATTCTCTTGTGACTTGTATATGGCTCTGAGACCTTTGTTTGGTTTCAATTAAGCTCATGTTTAATCCTACGCTGAATATATTTTCATTTTTTTTTTTATATCAGATGCACGTCCAATTCCTAACTCGAAGACAGACAATCTTAGTGTTGAAGTCACATGCCAAACATTGTGGAATTGTTTGAAGAAGTGAGATGTAGAGAAATGGTTATCTCAATCTCATGTTAGTGTTAGTGTTACGTTTTGTAGACGACCTGGAAACGAGGTCACAGGCGAGCACATTTCTACATGTTTTGAATTTTCCAAGTAAGTAGTAGTTAAATGAGGGATCTCAGCACTGGACTTGAAACACATTCCATTGTTCAAGTAAAGATGTCTAGCTACTTGTTTTGCAAAAATTATGTAAACACTGGTATAAAATAATCACTGCTGATACCTAAGTAAAGTGCAAGAGGCAATGCTTCTCCTTCGTACCATATATTTTAGGTAAGTTCAGAAAGCTAAATATACTGAATCTAAATAATTGTAGTAATCTGTAGACAACCGAAACAGCACTATTAAGGTCTGTGCCAGTCAAGGCTTTAATCAGCGTAAAAGCCTTCTAATAGCATTGAGATGTGGAACATTAAACTAAATGACAAAGGTAATGACTTTGTGTTACTGCATTACTAAAGGCGACTGGTGCCAGCAGAACCCTGGATCTATAACACTGGCTCATTACGTGACCCATACTGCAATCAGACAACCTTTCTGTCTTAGGTCTACGTTCTATCACTCTGTGAAAGAAGGAAAAAGGAAGAAGAGAAGTTTGTTGTCTGCAGCTGATGTTCTACAGTGGCAGCTCTAATCTTGCTTTAACACACTGGGAGAAATGAATGCTGGTTTGTATAGTCCTGTGCCTGCAGTAAAGCAAAGCAAAGCCATTGTCAGAGGACAGGCATGTCGTTTGTCAGAGGAAAGAGGTATATTTTTTGAATTCCATAGTGGTATGACACTCTGTATGCATAACAGAGCCTTCTGGGTCTCTCATTGTTATAACCCCTACCGAAATAAGCATATTTTATGTGTCAGCTCCTGTCTCGCTGAAGTGAACCTGTCAACATTTCACTATGACTGTAACGTGTACCTATGATATGTTTCACCACTTGTTTATTTCAGTGTCCTACTGTCAATAGCTCTTGAACTCACATCGGCTGTACTGAGACAGTGCACTATGCATGGTAAGAACAGTGTTCAGAAAAACACTGAGTTAGACGATTTCAAAGACATGTTTGGGAGTGTCACAGTGAAGTGGACATGAGGCAGAAAGGAGAACACTATGAGAACACTATTTTGGTGTGAAATCAGGTATAGAGTGTAACTCAGGTTTTTCATAGCAGCATTGCAGTGGGGAGAGGTGTGGCAAGGCATCACACACACTCAAAGAGGCAAGATTTATTAAAATATACCTTGCCTCTTGCAAGGTTATCAGGGGAATAATCTCTCTAAAAAGAATCTCTATTTTCCATACAGCTGACTGAACTGGAATTTCAGAGATTACAGATCTTGTCAGATGAAATGTCAGAATTCGCCCAAAACCCAGTATGTTCTGTAGTACTGGCAAGTATCTACATGTTCCTTTAAGATGGCAGCACATAATATAATACAGTGATTTCATAAAAGTGCTGTCGCCACAGAGCTTTAATCAGTAAGTATCCCATGCGAGACATTTACTATTTATATAGTATAACACTGTTTTTCATTTTCATTCAGACTTTACTCTCCTCTAGTGAATCTGCGCAAGCTCGCCATATTCATTAGACTGTTTATAAAATATCTGTTTACCCCTTAACCTTAACAAGCATATAACTCAATTAAAGGAGTAGATGGAGGAGATGAATGAACAGAGGACATTCTGGCACACTACTTAGCTCTTAACCCTATCCACTAACACATCACATGCCACAGGGAGGGCCGGAGGAGTATATATAGATATTCTTGGAAACTGTAACCAAATCAGTGGCTGAATAACAGCAAAACCCACCAAAGGTCAGAATAAGGCTGAGAATGATTTCTTTTAAAAATATATTATTTTATTTTACCCTTATTTTACCAGGTAAGTTGAATGAGAACACACTGTCATTTACAATGATGGCCTGGGGAATAGTTACAGGGGAGAGGAGGGGGGATGAATGAGCCAGTTGGAAGCAGCAGCAGCACTGGTAGCATATCTTTGATATGAATAATCTGGATGATGACACTGGACACATAGCTAAGACCAAACCCCAGATATAAGGTTGCAGTGTCTACTGTATGGTGTAAACGGTTGATTTTTCAATAAAGTTGATTGCCTAACACATTTCAACCAACACTTAAGTGACAATAATGCCATTGATTATATGTCTTTGGTTGAGTTACAGTAGGAACCTACACAGTATTGTAATAGAAAGGGAGAAAGATAGGATGCCCTAGGAAACCACTACTGTGACATACAGCATGTGTACTTAGTGTATTAGCTGCTATTGACATTGTGAGAGGTAGCTGAACCTGCAGTTATGTGCATGAGTCAAAAACAAGGCTTTGATTTGTATGTGCATCTGTAAGAAGCCATTTCAAAGAAGCCTGTAAATAGTGCTAGTGGAACCACTGGGACATAAATGGCCTCTTCTGCATAATTGCTGTGAGTCTTGAATTGTAGTACGCCTTGATTGCATGTTTACTATGGGGTCCATTGAGACCTTCTATGTAATTTAGAAACTGACGATAGCATTACATTTTTCTAAGACTATGAACTGTAGTTTTTTTTCATGGGTCGTGAATAACAGCCACCCTGTGATGGTGGCCCAGCGAGGGGATCCATGTAAAAGAGTGTAAAGGGAAATTATACACTCTGAGGGGAAATGAAATGATATCCCAGGCTGCATCAGTAATTACACGCCGAGAGAGACTTTAGCATGTCGGATGACATGAGGTGGCTCCGCCAAGGAATGTCTCTGAAGCGCCTGGCTGGCTGCCTGTTTGGCTCTGCTCTGAGTGACACAGCGAGGGCTGGTCTTTCTACATGCTCCAGGATCAAAGACAGGCCTATCACATCATCTCAAGAGCACCAAGGAGGGAAGGGACAAAAGGGAAAACGTAATGAATATCAGGGTCCATGTAAATATGACGATGGGACATCTCTGGTCATCACTTTGGTCTCCCTCTGAGGTTGTCCCCTCACTTTATAATTCTCCCTACCCCTCCTGAGTTCAGTATAGAAAAGTGCTGCCATTAAGCCTACAGCCAACTATTGGCAGGAGGCATAGTGTCTGCCAAACCCCGCTGAGAAAACCCATGGGGAATTCGGTGGGAGGTAGTATGAAGGAGAAGAGAGATTTTCAAAGCTCACTGGTGCATTGATGCATCTCACCCCCAGCTGGGTAAGTTGAGATAGACCACCATAAATAACCACAGGAGGGCCAGTATACCTGGCTTCTGAAGATGGGGCGCTGCAATAATCACCTGATAGTGATGATTAGGCTATTACCCTGCAAATTATGGCGCAATTCCACTAGAGAAACCAAACCGTGCTGGGCCGTGCCGGAACCAGCACTAACTAGCCTTGTTGGTTCTTGGTTGTTTTCCATTTGCAGTGAAACTGGAAACAGGACTAGGTTTAACTCACAGGAAACATTGCTAGTGACTGGCATTTTTAAGTATGGAGGAGGGAGACGTGCTGTGGAGTTAGCCAGGCTTTTTTCTGCCATCCTTTTCATTTTTGTTCGTGGGCAGCAAATGAGAGGAGACAGCTGAAAAGAGCCAGCTGAAATACACAACGTATCAAGAGAGGTATGTTTATCTGTTTAGCTAGCTGTTGTGTATCTGTCTTTGTGAATTGTTCCAAACTTATTTGGAATGAGGACAGCTACAGTCCTTCAAATACGGTATTACTCTTGCAGTATGCTGTGTGTGATAGGCCCTTAGGAGGTACGTAAAATGTATCTATTTAGCTAGCTACATAATGTGTATCTGTCTTTGTGATAGATACACTACATGACCAGAAATATGTGGACACCTGCTCGTCGAACATCTCATTCCAAAATCATGGGCATTAATATGGAGTTGGTCCCCCCTTTGCTGCTATAACAGCTTCCACTCTTCTGGGAAGGCTTTACACTAGATGTTGGAACATTGCTGTGGGGACTTGCTTCCATTCAGCCACAAGATCATTAGTGAGGTCGGTCACTGATGTTGGGCGATTAGGCATTCCAATTCATCCCAAAGGTGTTCAATGGGGTTGAGGTCAGGGCTCTGTGCAGGCTAGTCATGTTCTTCCACACCGATCTCGACAAACCATTTCTGTATGGACCTTGTGTTGTCATGCTGAAACAGGAAAGGGCCTTCCCCAAACTGTTCCCACAAAGTTGGAAGCACAGAATCGTCTAGTATGTTATTGTATGCTGTAGTGTTAAGATTTCCCATAAATGGAACTAAGGGGCCTAGCCCGAACCATGAAAAACAGCCCCAGACCATTATTCCTCCTCCACCAAACTTTACAGTTGGCACTATGCATTGGGGCAGGTAGCGTTCTCCTGGCATCCGCCAACTCCAGATTTGTCCATCGGACTGCCAGATGGTGAAGTGTGATTCATCACTTCAGAGAACGCGTTTCCACTGCTCCAGAACCCAATGGAGGCGAGCTTTACGCCACTCCAGCTGACACTTGGCATTGCGCATGGTGATCTTAGGCTTGTGTGTGGCTGCTCGGAAAACCCATTGGAAACCGATTTCATGAAGCTCCCGACGAACAGTTCTTGTGCTGACGTTGCTTCCAGAGGCAGTTTGGAACTCGATAGTGAGTGTTGCAACCGAGGGCCGACAAATTTTTTGCATTACGCGCTTCAGCACTCACCGGTCCCATTCTGTGAGCTTGTGTGGCCTACTACTTCACAGCTGAGCCATTGTTGCTCGTAGACGTTTCCACTTCACAATAACAGCACTTACAGTTAACCAGGGCATCTCTAGCAGGGCAGAAATTTGACAAACTGACTTGTTGGAAAAGTGGCATCCTATGACGGTGCCATGTTGAAAGTCACTGAGCTCTTTAGTAAGGCCATTCTACTGCCAATGTTTGTCTATGGAGATTGCATGGATGTGTGCTCAATTTGATCTCTCAGCAACGGGTGTGGCTGAAATAGCCGAATCCACTAATTTGAAGGGGTGTGCACATATTTTTGTATATATAGTGTATACATTGTACATACCTAGGCCTACATCATACACGGTATACTGCAAGAGTAATATTGCAGGACTGCACCTTATTGCAAGTGTAATAGCAAGTTGTCCTCATTCAATACTACAAGAGTAATTTAGTATAACATTCTTACGAGAAACACTTCCTGACCTACATCAGATGAAAATTAATCAACCCAATCAACTATATTATCTCTACCTATGCTATGGTGAGTTGATGTGTGTCCAACTGACAAATAAAACCAATGTTTATTAACAGATCTTCTCTTTTTTCTTTCTTTGTGATTTTCTATCTCTCACAGACACCCTTTGGAACAACAAAGCGAATGGACCAACAACAGAACTACTAGCATGACAGACCAAGCCTGGTACCAAGCTCAGGAAATATATATATAAAACAATGGACACATATTTAATACCTTATCTGGGAGTGTGGTGCCAGGAAAATAACCTCTCACTCAACATTAACAAAACAAAGGAGATGATCGTGGACTTCAGGAAACAGCAGAGGGTGCACTCCCCTATCCTCATCGACGGGACCGCAGTGGAGAAGGTGGAAAGCTTCAAGTTCCTTGGCGTATACATCACCAACAAACTGAAATGGTCCACCCACGCAGACAGTGTGGTGAAGAAGGCGCTACAGAGCCTCTTCAACCTCAGGAGGCTGAAGAAATTTGGCTTAGCACCTAAAACCCTCACAAACTTTTACAGATGCACAATTGAGAGCATCCTGCCGGGCTGTATCACCGCATGGTACGGCAACTGCACCACCCGCAACCGCAGGGCTCTCCAGAGGGTGGTGCAGTCTTCCAAACGCATTACCGGGGGCAAACTACCCGCCCTCCAAGACACATACAGCACCCAATGTCACAGGAAGGCCAAAAAGATCATTTACAGTCATTTAGCAGACACTCTTATCCAGAGCGACTTACAGTTAGTGAGTGCATACATTATTATTTTTCATACTGGCCCCCCGTGGGAATCAAACCCACAACCCTGGCGTTGCAAACGCCATGCCCTAACAATTGAGCTACATCCCTGCCAGCCATTCCCTCCCCCACCCTGGACAACGCTGGGCCAATTTTGCGCCGCCCCATGGGTCTCCCGTTCGTGGCCGGCTACAACAGAGCCTGGATTCGAACCAGGATCTCTAGTGGCACAGCTAGCACTGCGATGCAGTGCCTTAGACCACTGTGCCACTCGGGAGACTACCTGTTCACCCCGCTATCATACAGATGGCGAGGTCAGTACAGGTGCATCAAAGCTGGGACAGAGAGACTGAAAAACAGCTTCTATCTCAAGGCCATCAGACTGTTAAATAGCCATCACTAGCACATTGGAGGCTGCTGCTGCCTATTGAAATCACTGGCCAATTTAAGAAATGGAACACTATTCACTTTAATAATGTTTACATATCTTGCACTACTCATCTCATATGTATATACTGCATTCTATTCTAGGGCCCCGTGTAGCTCAGTTGGTAGAGCATGGCGTTTGCAACACCAGGGTTATGGGTTTGATTCCCATGGGGGGCCAGTATGAAAAATGTATGCACTCACTAACTGTAAGTTGGTCTGGATAAGAGTGTCTGCTAAATGACTAAAATGTAAACAAAAAAATATATATTCTACTGTATCTTAGTCCATGCCACTCTGTCATTGCTTGTCCATATATATATATTCTTAAATCCCATTCCTTACTAGTTTTGTGTTTATTAGGTATATGTTGTGAAATTGTTAGATACTACTTGTTAGATATTACTGCACTGTCAGAGCTAGAAGCACAAGCATTTCGCTACACTTGCTATAACATCTGCTAAACACGTGTATGTGAAAAATAAAATTTGATTTGATTTGATTTATTTTTGTTGTTGTTGGCACCTCCATACTTCCATTTGTTTGTATGGGTTACCTTCATACAAGTCCTGTGACACTTGTGGGGGTTTTAGAGCAAAACGGATAACACCATTGTGTTCGTTAGAGTCTCACCTTTCTATTCGGACGCTACAGACATTTCCATGACAAGACCGATTTTCGGGATGTCTCATGATCTAACAAACACCGCTGTAGCTCGCCCACCTTCCACCGCAGATGCGGAAGGCCGACGTAGGCCTGGTGCATTGAGAAGCAGTCTGATATCTCTAGCTTAATAAAGTACTACTATATACTCCCTTATGTTCATTTTACCATTAGACATACTGTATGTTCTTATAAGTTTAGTTTTTTACCCAATCAATACCCTACTACACGATTGTATACTCTATGTTCAACCAATGTTTGATTGTTGTTTAATAAAAGTGTGTAAATCATATTATGTCTAATCTTTATTTCCTACATTTAAAATCAACACAAGTAAGCATGTTTAACAACATTTGCAAAATGTACATTATTTTCATTGTTTAACAGTAGGCTAAATTCAATTAACAGTAATTGAAAGCCACATTCACAATGCTTTTGGTATAGTACAAATTTAAGTGAATAAAAAAAAGTATTTTACATAAGAACTTTAGCCAGTTTAGTCTATTGACGTGTCCTGCTGGTGTCTGACGTCCTTTTATGGCTTGGACAAACTTTCCAAATACAGCTATGAAGCTGTTGTTAAATGACGCTGTCTGTGGCATCGCAGCCACCCTGGCTTTCCTGTCTGCTGTGCTGACTGCTGCCTCATCTTCACGCAGCTGATAGAAGTGCTGATCCTGCTGCTGACGCTGGGCCTCAAGTGTCTCCAGGTATGAGGCCTCGGTCTCCCTCATGATGTTCAGGTATTTGCTGGTTGTGCTCGCAGTGTGTTTTCTCTTCCCTGGGAAAATATATAGGCAGAAGTAAAGAGATGTAGAGTACAGGAATGATAAGGTACAGACTCCAAAGCAAACCTGAGGGCAGCCAGTGTGAGTGCAGTTTTGTTCTCCAGCCATATATTTTCTCATTATATTGATAAAATCTTATCCAGCAAAGGTCAGTGTGGGGCCAACCAGATCTACCAACCGGATACACCAGTGATGCAAATAATAAAGGTCTTGGGTCAGAATATGATTAATTGAATCAGTGTGACAGTTTTATGTATAAATTCCTGTATCCACACTGTCTCCTTGAATAATGTTTAGGTACATAACCCTGTCATGACAAAAGCCCTCGGTGGATGAGATTGCCCACCCCTGTTGAAGACAGCTAAATTGTGTGATTAGGGCTAAACAAGTGAACATGACAATCAATTGACAGTGAACTGTTTACCAACCAAGGATGGACCCTTGGTGCCTGGGGGTGCAGGGCTCAGGGGTTTCAGGAGCATTGATTGTGTTGATGGACCCTGGGTGTCTGGGGGTGCAGGGCTCTGAGGTTGTGGCTTCTCTGTTCGAGCACGCAGCTTCCTCTGAGTCCGTAGGTTCAGGAATGTCCTCTGAAAAGTATGTTTGCTTCCATTCCTTACTAGTTTTGTGTGTTTTAGGTATATGTTGTGAAATTGTTAGATACTACTTGTTAGATATTACTGCACTGTCGGAGCTAGAAGCACAAGCATTTCGCTACACCCGCTATAACATCTGCTAAACACGTGTATGTGAGTTTTCTTTTTTGATTTGATTTATTTTTTTGTTGTTGGCACCTCCATACTTCCATTTGTTTGTATGGGTTACCTTCAGACAAGTCTTGTGACACTTGTGTTTTTTTTAGAGCAAAACGGATAACACCATTGTGTTCGTTAGAGTCTCCCCTTTCCATTCGGATGCTACAGACATTTTCATGAGAAGACCGATTTTCAGGATGTCTCATGATCTGACAAACACGGCTGTAGCTCGCCCACCTTCCACCGCAGATGCGGAAGGCCGACGTAGGCCTGGTGCATTGAGAAGCAGTCTGATATCTCTAGCTTAATAAAGTACTACTATATACACCCTTATGTTCATTTTACCATTATACATACTGTATGTTCTTATAAGTTTAGTTTTTTACCCCATCAATACCCTACTACACGATTGTATACGCTATGTTCAACCAATGTTTGATTGTTGTTTAATAAAAGTGTGTAAATCATATTATGTCTAATCTTTATTTCCTCCATTTAAAATCTACACAAGTAAGCATGTTTAACAACATTTGCTAAATGTACATTATTTTCATTGTTTAACAGTAGGCTAAATTCAATTAACAGTCATTGAAAGCCACATTCACAATGCTTTTGATATAGTACAAAAAAGTATTTTACATAAGAACTTTAGCCAGTTTAGTCTAGTGACATGTGTCCTGCTGGTGTCTGACATCCTTTTATGGCTAGGACAAACTTTCCAAATACAGCTATGAAGCTGTTGTTAAATGACGCTGTCTGAAAAGTATGTTTGTTTGTGTAATGTAAAGTCGGAAACTACCGGCTAACGTCAAACATGTAGCAAATACAGCTATGAAGCTGTTGTTAGTAATGTAAAGTTGGAAACTCCCGGCTAATGTCAAACATGTAGCTAAGTCCACGGCGTTGGCCTTCCATGGATGTTTATATGACAAGTTGTTGACCCTGGTTCACATCTCGCGCAGTGCTCACTCACACACGCTACAGCTAGCTTTGCTGAAGACATTGGTAGCTAGCTAGATAATTTGGCTAACAACAATGTATTACCGTGCTGATCATCGCTGCTCGGCATCATCATGCCTTCAAATATCGCTGTCTGATACACTTTTGTTGTTGTGCAATCTTTTATCTTTTTATATTCTTGTTTGAGTTTCTTAATTTTTTCCCTGCACTGTTTCACTGACCGATGGATTCCCATCTCTGCTAATGTATACAATATATTATTTGAAGACCTTTTCATTCCTGGTGGAAGAATCCAGTTGCCTCTGGATGCTGGAGTCTACCCAGGTGCTCAAAAGCGAGTGGACATCTCCAACTGACCAATTTGCTGCTTCCATTATTCGGTTTTAGCTGTAGAGTTACTGGTTAGTGTAGCTGTACCAAGTTCTATCTGTGGCTGTACCGTTTTTCTACTGTACCTATTAACAACATACGCCACACTGTGACATTATTGTGTGAGACCAATCATTGAGTACGGCCATTTGTAACCCCACCCACCAGCCTACATGGTTTGATGTCAGTACCAGATACAGTATCAAACGAGGCTGAATATCCTGCTTGGTTCCTGGAATCAAGTGGACCATGGGCAAATGGTAATGAAATAGGAACCCTGATATTCAAGGCCCGGCATGGCCCTGCAGTGGAAAAGTGCCATGAAGAACTCCCGACGCAGCCTTACTTCTCTCTTCTTGTTTATAACTCTTAGCTGTAGTGATACCCTCTGAACATACTCTGGCTTGGACAACTTGTTTTCCTTCACTGATTTATGTAAATGCTACTGGAAGAGTCAGCTATTTAGTAATATAAGCACATGAAAATGGATAATAGCAGTAATAAGTATTGATTACTTTGCAATCGCTGAACAATTATGAGTGTCTTAATTATTCTAAAGCCTAATTGCTCAGAGATTATAATGTTTTCCGCAAATACTATGCACTTAGGAAATCATTTAGTGATGTCTAGCACATAATAGCAGTAGTTGAGAGCAGTTTCATAATTGTTAGTCTTTAAACCGTTTTTTGTTTGATATTAAATACCTATTGCATAACTTATGGAATAAATATTCGTTGTTTGGATGAGTTCATCTAGCATAATGTACCTAAAACTAAAGAGAAACAAAGTTTAGGAAGTGTCTGAGTAGGAAGTAAAATATATACATCCAGTTATCTCCAATAAGCATGAGACAGGGGTGTACAGAAAAAGAAGTGTAGGCCTTTATCAGATTTAATTGAAAATCTTAGAGCTCAGAGTACATCAACATTTTGTACATTTACATTTTAGTCATTTAGCAGACACTTAGTAGTGAGTGCATACATTTTCATACTTTTTCTACTGTACCTGCAGGGGATAAGCAAGGGAACTGGGATTTTTTCATTTGAAACTTGCCTTTTATTTCCTGATTTATTGATACCTCTAATGTGCCTCCAAGGGTCCATGTTTTATTTCAGGAGGCGCTTTTCTGCAGGCTTTCTCTCCTCGGTATGAATTTTTAATTTCAAGCTGAGCGGATGCTCTTGTCCATAATGTACATATCTTATTAATGGACGTTTTTCACAACACAGTTTTAATCGCTCCATACGTAGATGTTCGGCCACCCCCCTCCATTCTGAGCCCAGTCCCTGAGACGTATTGATGGCTGTGGTTCAGAAGGCTTTCAGCTGGTTTCCCCTGCTGATTGGGGGACTGCACTTGAGCTACAGATCCTGCCCTGTAACCACAAAAAACATTCCTCACAGGGATTTAAGGCCTACAAATCAGAGACATTTGGACAGTCATCTACAGAATGTCTAAATATAAAATATACACATTTTACAACTGTAATCAATGCTAACCGGAGACATAGAGGCTGACTAAACCTTACATTTGTGGGACGTCACCTCGTCTGCTATGTGAACCTGCAAGCGTGCATTAAAGTCCTCTTTTAAAGACTGAAGAGTTGTTTGTGCGCTTGATTTGTGTTCGCTACATAGCATGTGACTTGCATACAAGTTCAATTACAACTCATATATAGTGATGTGACCTTGTGGTACACCAATAGGAGTCAAACTTATAAGAAGGGATAGTAGGACTTTATCTCTGACTTCAACCTTAGGTATTAATTGATTTTTTACTGACACTATTCACCAAAAAAGGATGGACAAGAAGAGACTTCTGTGAGAAGTGTATGCCCTCTCTCTCTCACTTTATCAGTCATGGCAGATGTCACACTGATGATCTGAGTGATAAATGTTGCCATGCCGCCCACTCCAAAGGATGACATGGTAGAGGAGTAATTTCTCAGAAAGAGCTCTTACTGTGAGAAAGTAAGTGAGGACTCTCAACCCCCCCCCCCCCCCCCCCCCCCCCCCAGGCCTATATAATCTAGGACTTTTAATTTTAGACTCAGACAGTGGTGTAAAGTACTTTTGTAAAAATACTTTAAAGTACTTTTTTGGGTATCTGTACTTTACTATTTATATTTTTGACTACTTTTACATTTACTCCACTACATTCCAAAAGAAAATATGTAATTTTTACTCAATACATTTTGTGGAGTGTGCCCCTGGCTGTCAAAAAAAAAAATAGAACATTGTGCCATCTGATTTGCTTAATATAAGGAATTTGATGTGTAGGATTTACTTTTACTCAAGTATGACAATGTAATACTTTTCCCACCACTATACTAAAGTACATTTAAAACCTGATACTTTTAGACTTTTACTGAAGTAGTATTTTACTGGGTGACTTTCACTTTTACTTCATTTTCTATTAAGGTATCTTTACTTTTACTCAAATATGACAATTTAGTACTTTTTCCACCACTGGACTCAGAGAATACATTAGTTGCTGGGGTTACTGCAACATGGCAAGATACAGGATCTAGAGGAAAAACATGAGTAGGGTTTGGGTTCTGTGAGACAACTTCACGCAGCCAAGTGTGAAAAAATGAGCCTTCCAAGTGTTCTGATTGGATAACATGGCCTGTGTCTCCAACTGGCTGCCCTAAATAGAACTCATGAAGCGAGCCACTTGATTCAATTACAGTGGATGATGATTCACTGTTCTGTGCCAATCTCCAATTTTTAGATGCTGCAGGCAGTATTCAAGGCAGACCCAACTAGATTATATTAGCATACAATCACTTTCACCATCTTTGACTCGTGTCTGTCCATGTTGCATTTATACATCATCAATCACATCTCAAAGGTCAATCTTCAAACTGTCATACAGTTTATCCAATATGTTCTTTGAAAACTAGACCAGGAGATGTTTTATATTGAAAGTACAGGCGATTACCACAATGCAAGCAGGAATCAGTGATTAATAGGTAGAAAGGTCACTGATAAATAAATAAAAAACTTTTTTTAAACAAAGATAGAAGTTGCTACAATGAGAAAGTACTGTAGAGCGGTATGACGGCAAGCGCTCCAGCTCACCTTTGAGGCTGGGTTAGGCCCTTCAATGTCGAGCAAATTGTCCATCCCTAGCAAACACATTTGTCCACTTTGGTTGTTCACACATTGTGCCTCTTTTTTTTAGCAAATTGTCGTAGGTAAATAATGAAAGTGCGCAAGATAACACCTCCCAGGAATTGCCTTTATTATTTATCATTAGTTTTTCTGCCTTCACTGAGTGACCCACTATTATAGGGGCAAGTTGTTCAACACTGGCATGTGGCAACACTGAGTTAAATAGTGACTTTATTAAGAAATCTCTACATTGATAAATAGGTCATGCCAGGCAAGGGAACATCCAGACCTAAACTTAATTATGTCACGTCAAAGTTTGCAGCTTATATTCAATTTAAAAGGTCACTGTTCATGTGATCGCCTAAGATATATCTTCATTTGATATTCTAAGCTTTCAAACTCAGTTGGTCACACTTAAAGCTAGAAAGGGGGTATTAAATCACTGTGGTGAATTATTCAAGACGGCGGATTTATGGGACTTCTGAACAACAACAAATATATTTCCCTCAATTGGGTCTGTGAGATTGCATGGAAGAACTTGCTATTATTTCACCTCACAGGTATATAAATGAATATAAGTTGGTCAGGTAGAAAACACTTTTCCCATTGAGTTATTATGAAATATGAACGATCTTTTTAGCTTATTTTCTGTGGTATGTCTTAAAAGCCTAGTGCAGTTGTTTTTATCTCAATATCAAATAATTTGTGGGTAACAATTAAGTAACTTCCTGTAATATTTTTCCATTAAAATTGTCAAAAAGAATCAAAGCAGTGCATTAACCATAGTTAATCACCAGAGTGAAGGGGCCCAATGGGAGGGATATGTAACCTGAAAACTAGCTGTTTATTGGCAGTGAGGTTTGGAACTCTCTTTGTTATTGGTCTATTAACTTATACAGCCTGGTGATGTCACCAGGCAAGCCAAAACTCCACCCATGCAAAATCTGCTGATTAGAAGGTCCTGTGTAGATTGTATTTTCAACAAACAACTACGAAATAAAATATATCAAGATTATACCATACATCGAAATGATATCTCTTGCAGGTTATTGTTGAGTTATTGTACAGCATGACGTTGAATACAACTGAATAAAAAAGGAAGCAATTAATATCCTATTGAAAAGCAGCGAATCTACGCAGAATACAATGACTACTGTGTTGAACAATAGTCAGTGATGAATGATGTATGTTATATTAAAGTACTGTTTAGTAAAAACGAATGCAGTAAGCAACAAATATCAGCATACTAGGCCCATCACACTGAGAATGCGTAATATAATGCGCAATTACATTGATTCCCTCCATTCATTCATTTTGGTACAGCGTGTCCAAACACACAAGGTTCTCGAAAGATGATTATCTTCCTCAATCGTATACAGCTAATTCTACTAGATGAAAAGTTGAAATGAGTATGACATCTTGGCATTTATAGCATACTACATTTTCAAAATGTCAAATACTATAAAAGTAATTTTTTCGCATACCCAAAATGGCTACTAAACTCAGCAAAAAAAGAAACGTCTTCTCACTGTCAACTGCGTTTATTTTCAGCAAACTTAACATGTGTAAATATTTGTATGAACATAACAAGATTCAACAACTGAGACATAAACTGAACAAGTTCCACAGACATGTGACTAACAGAAATGGAAGAATGTGTCCCTGAACAAAGGGGGGGTCAAAATCAAAAGTAACAGTCAGTATCTGGTGTGGCCACCAGCTGCATTAAGTATTGCAGTGCATCTCCTCCTCATGGACTGCACCAGATTTGCCAGTTCTTGCTGTGAGATGTTACCCCATTCTTCCACCAAGGCACCTGCAAGTTCCCAGACATTTCTGGGGGGAATGGTCCTAGCCCTCACCCTCCGATCCAACAGGTCCCAGATGTGCTCAATGGGATTGAGATCCGGGCTCTTCGCTGGCCATGGCAGAACACTGACATTCCTGTCTTGCAGGAAATCACGCACAGAACGAGCAGTATGGCTGGTGGCATTGTCATGCTAGAGGGTCATGTCAGGATGAGCCTGCAGGAAGGGTACAACATGAGGGAGGAGGATGTCTTCCCTGTAATGCACAGCGTTGAGATTGCCTGCAATGACAATAAGCTCAGTCCGATGATGCTGTGACACACCACCCCAGACCATGACGGACACTCCACCTCCAAATCGATCCCGCTCCAGAGTACAGGCCTCGGTGTAACGCTCATTCCTTCGACGATAAACGTGAATCCGACCATCACCCCTGGTGAGACAAAACTGCGACTCGTCAGTGAAGAGCACTTTTTGCCAGTCCTGTCTGGTCCAGCGACGGTGGGTTTGTGCCCATAGGCAACGTTGTTGCCGGTGATGTCTGGTGAGGACCTGCCTTACAACAGGCCTACAAGCCCACAGTGCAGCCTCTCTCAGCCTATTGCGGACAGTCTGAGCACTGATGGAGGGATTGTGCATTCCTGGTGTAACTCGGGCAGTTGTTGTTGCCATCCTGTACCTGTCCCGCAGGTGTGATGTTTGGATGTACCGATCCTGTGCAGGTGTTGTTACACGTGGTCTGCCACTGCGAGGATGATCAGCTGTCCGTCCTGTCTCCCTGTAGCGCTGTCTTAGGCGTCTCACAGTACGGAAATTGCAATTTATTGCCCTGGCCACATCTGCAGTCCTCATGCCTCCTTGCAGCATGCCTAAGGCACGCACACGCAGATGAGCAGGGACCCCGGGCATCTTTCTTTTGGTGTTTTTCAGAGTCAGTAGAAAGGCCTCTTTAGTGTCCTAAGTTTTCAGAACTGTGACCTTAATTGCCTACCGTCTGTAAGCTGTTAGTGTCTTAATGACCGTTCCACAGGTGCATGTTCATTAATTGTTTATGGTTCATTGAACAAGCATGGGAAACAGTCTTTAAACCCTTTACAATGAAGATCTGTGAAGTTATTTGGATTCAATGCTGTATATATGACATATGCTTTGTATCAGATTTCACCATGCAATTTTTATATGCCAGAATAAAATGGCAGGACGATTATTCTTCCTATCTGGACACGAGGGAGCCTGTGGTCCATTAAATCTGACCCTTTAAAAGTGATATTTGCTTTCAAAGTGGAAAACCAACAAGAGAGGATGAGTGCTGCATAAGTCCATCTCCTTCCATCTCTGTTTATTTTTCCAAGTGTGCACAGCCATTTGTGGACAAGGCTGCAGAAGGAGCAGCATGGGGCAGTTGAAAGGAAGCCTTCCCTTGGTAGAAATCTTCCGATTATATGCTTGTTTTGATTTTATGCTCCTAGAGCTGGTTCCTCTCGCTCTCTTTGCCAAAGGCCTGGCTACATGATGAAACATATTTCAATCATGGCACACTAATTGTTAAAATTGTGTGGCAAGGTCCTCCCTCAGAAGCTTGACAGCCTCATAAAAAGGATCCCATTTTAAATGATGAAGATGTTGTTAGACAGCATACGTTACAGAGGGAATTAAACAGATTGCTGTTAAATGACCATGGCAAAACAATCTGATTTGTAGATATTTACACCGCCTACAAAATCCCAATTTCACTCTTGACAATAACACATTTCTAAACTAGTATCTTGCCTTGGATTCTTCTGTCTTACAGAAAGATATCTGGACATCCTACAGTAGCTACCATCGACGATAGCCAGCCAGCCCCTGCAGGTAGAAGCAAATGGCTCTACATCATTGTGTTTCAAAACTGCTTAAGTTCCCCAGTGCACAACTTCATCCCTCTTTTTCTGTCTTGTCTCTTCTTGCTCTGGCGCTATAGATTATTTATATTTTATTTCAGTTAAGATTAAAGGGAAATGGCAATAGAGCCCATGGGACTTTAGGGTGTTAGGTTTGCCTTGTCAAGACCATTCCTATACTCAAATGTGTTCCTATCTTTACACTCAACCTCAAGTGGAGAGAAAAAACTGACACTGGACAATAACTTACTGCAACAACAAAGTCAGCTAAATACTGTTCTTCTGATTAAGGACATGCAAGATGGACATGTATAACATATCACCTACCTATTACATAACAAATAACTATTATATCACTTCTTATGGGTCATAAACTTTACTTATGCTACCATCATGTCATTTCAATACAGTTTTTCCCTATGCAATTATCTAAAGCTCATTAAATGATCATACATTTTGCTGTTTTCTTACATGACAGTGAGACATGAACACGTGGCACAGTATGCGACAAATCACAGTAGGTAAATATGTTTAGCTTCTAAATGTCGTCTTTGTCTCAGGCACTTAGTATTCACGTCATGATTGCCTTGGCATCACGGCTGAATCTTTCGAGCATGGCCATTGATCACCTTGCGGTAGTTCCACCTGGGCGCTCCTCCATTTGTCTCCTGTCCCCTGCTGCTGATCCCCTGAGCCCAGGAGGGATCTGCTGCTCTGCTCCGCTCTACCCCTGGCTCCCCCTGGCCTGCTGGCCTGCTGCTGTGCATCATGACATCTCTGTCTGCCTCTCATCACTTACCCTTACACCCCTCACCCATGGTCATGCACCCACCACGATAGGCAGAGTGGGCGTGACGGCTAGGGGTGTTAGCATCCTGATCTTCTTTTCAAAGAGATTATTTGAATGCACAAGTAAGTGTAATGTGTTACATAGGGCAGTAACAGTGTCCAGTCTATAAATAATTAAATATCCTTATGCACAGGTGTCACACCCTGGCTCTGGGACTCTATTTGTTGAGCCAGGGTGTGTTCATTCTATGTTTTTATTTTCTATGTTGGGGGTTCTAGTTCGTCATTTTCTATGTTTGACTGAGTGACTCCCAATGAGAGGCAACGAGTGTCAGCTGTTTGCTGGTTGTCTCTGATTGGGAGCCATATTTAACTGTCTGTGTTTCACTTTGTGTTTGTGGGTTTTTGTTCCTTGTCGGTCTTTGTCACCGTGGACTTCACGAGTCGTTTATTGTTTTGGTTTTTGTGCTTTAATATAATAAAGTATGATGTTCGCTCAACACGCTGCGCATTGGTCTACTTCGCTTCAAGACGATCGTGACAGAAAAACCCACCATAAAAGGACCAAGCAGCGTGTCCAGGAGCAGGCAGCCTGGTCATGGGAGGAGATATTAGACGGGAAAGGGTCCTGGACCTGGGAGGAAATCCTGGCCGGGATGGATCGCCGGCCATGGAGTGAGACGGTGGAGAGGCGATGGAGAGAGGAGCAGCGGCGTCAGCAGGGTCAACGTCGGACAGGCGAGAGGCAACCCCAAAAAATTTTTAGGGGGGGGGCACACGGCAGGGGCGACGAGGGAGCAGGAGGTAGTGTTGCAGAGGATGGAGCATTTGGAGGCGATAAGGGAAAGGGTGAGAAAGGAGGCACGGCGAGAGGAACTCGGTAGGCAGCTGAGGGAGCGGGGGGTTATGACGAAACCCAGTCCCGCTCCTCACACCAAGCAAGTGGTGTGCGTCACCAGTCCGGTCCGGCCCGTTCCTGCTTCCCGCACTAAGTGTAAGGTGCACGCCGCCAGCCCAGCCCGGCATGTTCCTGCCCCTCGCACCAAGCCTACGATGTGCGTCGCCAGCCCAGTCCGGCCTGTCCCTGTTCCACGCACCAAGCCTACGGTGTGCGTCGCCAGCCCAGCCCGGCCTGTCCCTGTTCCATGCACCAAGCCTACGGTGTGCGTCGCCAGCCCAGCACGGCCTGTCCCTGCTCCACGCACCAAGCCTACGGTGTGTGTCGCCAGCCCAGCCCGGCCTGTCCCTGCTCCACGCACCAAGCCTACGGTGTGCGTCGCCAGCCCTGTCCGGCCTGTCCCTGCTCCACGCACCAAGCCTACGGTGTGCGTCGCCAGCCCTGTCCGGCCTGTCCCTGCTCCACGCACCAAGCCTACGGTGTGCGTCGCCAGCCCAGTCCGGCCTGTCCCTGTTCCACGCACCAAGCCTATGGTGTGCGTCGCCAGCCCAGCCCGGCCTGTCCCTGCTCCACGCACCAAGCCTACGGTGCGCGTCGCCAGCCCGGCCCGGCCCGTTCCTGCCACTCGCACCAAGCCAGGGGTGCGAGTCGTCAGCCTGGTCCAGCCCGTTCCTGCTACTCGCACCAAGCCAGGGGTGCGAGTCGTCAGCCTGGTCCAGCCCGTTCCTGCTACTCGCACCAAGCCAGGGGTGCGAGTCGTCAGCCTGGTCCAGCCCGTTCCTGCCACTCGCACCAAGCCAGGGGTGCGAATCGTCAGTCCGGTGAGGCCCGTTCCGGCTCCGCGCACCAAGCCAGGTGTGCGAGTCGTCAGTCCGGTGAGGCCCGTTCCGGCTCCACGCACCAAGCCAGGGGTACGAGTCGTCAGTCCGGTGAGGCCCGTTCCGGCTCCACGCACCAAGCCAGAGGTGCGAGTCGTCAGTCCGGTGAGGCCTGTTCCGGCTCCACGCACCAAGCCAGGGGTGCGCATCGTCAGCCCGGTCCGGCCCGTTGCTGCTACACGCACCAAGCCAGGGGTGCGCATCGTCAGCCTGGTCCGGCCAGTTGCTGCTCCACGCACCAAGCCAGAGGTGCGCGTCGTCAGTTCCGGCACAACCCGTGCCTGGGTCATCGGTGCCAATTCAGGTACCGCTCAACTGCTCCACTAAGGAGCTGAAGCCTACCGCTCCTGCTACGTCCAGTCCAGCTCCAGCCAGCGGGGCCAGACCGGACCAAGGGCGCTATGGGGGGTTTGTCGGAGGGTGGTGGGCAAGCCCGGAGCCAGAACCGCCGCCGAGGAGGAATGCCCACCCAGCCCTCCCCTGTTTTGCTCGTATTTAGGCGCGGTCGTAGCCTACCATCAGTAACACAGTACGCCGCCAGGGACTCAAATCCTGCAGTGCCAGACGTGTCCCCCTGCTTAAGCCAGTACATGTCCAGGCCCGTCTGAAGTTTGCTAGAGTGCATTTGGATGATCCAGAAGAGGATTGGGAGAATGTCATATGGTCAGATGAAACCAAAATATAACTTTTTGGTAAAAACTCAACTTGTCGTGTTTGGAGGACAAAGAATGCTGAGTTGCATCCAAAGAACACCATACCTACTGTGAAGCATGGGGGTGGAAACATCATGCTTTGGGGCTGTTTTTCTGCAAAGGGACCAGGACTACTGATCCGTGTAAAGGAAAGAATGAATGGGGCCATGTATCGTCAGATTTTGAATGAAACCCTCCTTCCATCAGCAAGGTCATTTAAGATGAAACGTGGCTGGGTCTTTCAGCATGACAATGATCCCAAACACACCCCCCGGGCAACGAAGGAGTGGCTTCGTAAGAAGCATTTCAAGGTCCTGGAGTGGCCTAGCCAGTCTCCAGATCTCAACCCCATAGAAAATCTTTGGAGAGAGTTGAAAGTCCGTGTTGCCCAGCGACAGCCCCAAAACATCACTGCTCTAGAGGAGATCTGCATGGAGGAATGGGCCAAAATACCAGCAACAGTGTGTGAAAACCTTGTGAAGACTTACAGAAAACGTTTGACCTGTGTCATTGCCAACAAAGGGTATATAACAAAGTATTGAGAAACTTTTGTTATTGACCAAATACTTATTTTCCACCATAATTTGCAAATAAATTCACAAAAAATCCTACAATGTGATTTTCTGGATTCTTTTTTCTCATTTTGTCTGTCATAGTTGACGTGTACCTATGATGAAAATTACAGGCCTCTCTCATCTTTTTAAGTTGGAGAACTTGCACAATTGGTGGCTGACTAAATACTTTTTTTCCCCACTGTACATTAAAAAGGAGAATTGGGGCTTCTGATCACTGATGGATTGTGGTATTGGGAGAATGGTGGAATGGCTTTTTAAAGACTACAGTAATCACAAGATACACTACATGACCAAAAGTATGTGGACAACTGCTTGTCGAACATCTCATTCCAAAATCATGGGCATTAATATGGAGTTGGTCCCCCCTTTGCTGCTATAACTGCCTCCACTCTTCTGGGAAGGCTTTCAACTGTTGGAACATTGCTGCAGGGATTTGCTTTCATTCAGCCACAAGAGCATTAGTGAGGTCGGGCACTGATGTTGGGCGATTGGGCCTGGCTCGCAGTCGGCATTCCAATTCATCCAAAAAATGTTCGATGATGTTGAGGTCAGCGCTATGGGCAGGCCAGTCAAGTTCTTCCACACCGATCTCGACAAACCATTTCTGTATGGACCTCACTTTGTGCACGGGGGCATTGCCATGCTGAAACAGTAAAGGGCCTTCACCAAACTGTTGCCGCAAAGTTGGAAGCACAAGCAATTGTCTAGAATGTCATTGTATGCTGTAGCGTTAAGATTTCCCTTCACTGGAACTAAGGGGTCTAGCCCGAATCACTAATTTGAAGGAGTGTCCACATACTTTTGTATATATATATATATATATATATATATATATATATATATATAGTGTATATCGACTAGACCAATACATTCTTGATTAAGCTATTATGATCTAAATTAATCTGATGCGTGTCTGTTGGAGATTTCAGTGGAGAACACATTGTTATCAACCATTATATTCATAATACTATGCACCTTTGACTTAAAATTAGATTTCTGAAAGCTTGAGTAATGCATCTCGGATAAAGCAACTAAACAGGATTGTTTCTAATTACCAGGTTGTGTGGAAGCGAATGGCCCCACAGTGTTGCCTCAAAATCTGTCAGACACAGATGGCGATAAAGGCGAAAAAATCAGGAGAGAGAGATGTTTAGAGAACATGATATGCTATGTGTTTGTGTGTCTCTCTCTCTGTGTGTGTGTGTGTGTGTGTGTGTGTGTGTGTGTGTGTGTGTGTGCAAGTTTGCTTGAGTGCTTGGGGGGAGGGGGATCATTATCCAACTAGCTTGTAATTGTAAAATATTTAGTATCAATCCATTTCTTTGAACATTAATCAAATCAAACCTATCCCCCCCAAAAGCAGTTTTTGGTGTTTGTCTATTACACCCTAAAGTCTTTAGAGGAGTGAGAAATTTATCATTGTCTTCTGCAACTAGGAAGGAGATCATTACATTTACGTCATAGCGACATACAGTTAGTGAGTGCATACATTTATTTCATACTGGCCCCCCGTTGGAAACGAACCCACGACCCTGGCGTTGCAAGCGCCATGCTCTACCAACTGAGCTACAGGGGACTATCATCTGGTGCTAACCCCACTCTGAGGATAAGTGCTTCAGTTTGACAGAATCAGATCTGACTATTTCAAGTGACTTTCTGGATATACCTGACTGTCACTATTTATTTTACTCAAATTGATGATGTGCCACCGTAGCTTATGCAGAGGTATCCTCTCGCTTTAGACGCATGACAAATAGTCCCTGGTGAGTGACGAATACCTTGTTGTAGGATTGCCAGGCTTCTGTCGGATATATCTTTGACTTCCTGTTTCCTGTCTGTAACACGTTTCATCAAGCTGGCAGACAGTGGCAGTCCCTATACAAGATGCCAGGAAAGCCATATCAACCCAAAAAACTCAACTCAAGCTGACAGTTATAATTCAGTCTCATGCTAGTTGAGT